TAAAATTCAAGTTGCAGTTCTTTTTGTTCATAAACTGTATCCTTCTGTTTACGTGAAGTGATAAAAACATCAGCAAGATATTAAATGTTATATTTGATGTGATTATTATTTACTAAAAATGTTTGAGCTGAATGAGATGTAGTTTCCTTTGATATTTAACCATTTCAAACATTACTCATAGTTAGTTTCACTTGGCACCTAAAGTAGGAGCCACTGTTCCTTGTCCTTATAAATGTCGCTCAATAATCAAAACTACCAGAAAAATTTTAAATCATCTTCAAATCAGCAGTTAAGAAACATTCACATTCATTTATGTGCATGTGTGTGCGTGCATATATATATATACATAAAGAAATCAATAGTTCTAGTATTATAGGTTATTATTAGCACTATATAACAGTAATGAAATTTAATATAAGTCAAAATCAAAATATTTACAATGAGACCTAAAACTTTTTTTTAAGTTGCCCATTACCAGTCCTTGTCATTATCATTAAGTCATATTGAAAAATGTCTGGGGTCATAACTTCCAAAAGCGTTTGGAATATTTGATCTATTATTCCTGATCCAAATGCAGATGTAAACTTAGCAGCCATGGAGAATTAATTATGGGTAATGAGTTGAGTGCTTAACCCTTTCATCTCAATATAACACCCTCTCAAATTTCATTTAGAGGATGAAATTGTTTGAAACTTTAGAGAAACTTTCATAAAGGCATGTAGTTTCAGAAAAATAAAATACTTAATTTTTTCTACAATTTCTACTAAAAATTCATTATTTATTATAATAGATTTTGAGTAGTTCAAGTGCAAGGTGATTTTTATGTTTAGTATAAAAATACTTTTTTTTATATTTCTGTTTTCAAATTTCATTTGCATAACTTTTAGAACTTCCTAAATGAATATCAAAAGTTTTTTTAAGGTAAATGTTTATATTTTCATTTTTCAATTTCTCTATCAGATCACTAACTGTAGCTATTATCATCAGTATACAGTACACTGAAATGTTTAAAATTAAGAAACATAAATATATATATATATACCTTTTAACTCTTCATCAAATAATCTTAAAACATCCTCTTTTGGTTATATTCATAATTTCAGGTCTCTACCTTTTCACTTATAGATTATTTTTAAAGTTTTATTTTCATTTTCTGTCCTTTATGGCTTATAACCTTTTCTTGACACATACTAGTAAGTGCCCTCATGGCATATTACAGTAGCTTTGGCAGAGATACGAAAACCTTTGGCAAAATATTTTTTGTGCTTGCATTGTAATTTAACCCTTGCAAACCAGGGCAAAATTGGGGTTGTGTTAATTATTACATCTTTCAAATATGAATTTTAAAACATAAATAATACATAATTAACTAAAATATAAAAGTAAATCCTAAATACAATTTAACTATCATACTAATATGTATCTAGGTGAGAGACAATGCTAAGTGCTAGTGAAGACAAAATCAGCAAAAAATGCTTCGGCTGTTTGACATATTTGATAATTAATATTACATGCCAATTTTAAAATAACAATTGGTAGATTGCAGTTTAAAATAAGCTCTTTCTGTTGGTTATAAGCATGTTAATCAAATAAGTACATATTGCTCTAAAAATCATGTCCAAATAAAAAGGTGGGCGTGGCTACTGTCAAGGGAAGTGAGGAAATATATTTTTCTGTGGTCTATGACTTGGCAATGGAATTTGAACTAAAAATGCATAAACAGTTCTGTGTAAGTAGACTCAGTCTAGACATGTGTGTACATTGTAAATGAACTATTATTGAAGTAATAGAAACAAAATGTTAAGATCTGTGATCACTTGTGTGACATCTGACAACAAAATTGAAGTTTGAGTATTTTTAGGTAAAGGTTTCTTTTGAAGTAAAGAAATTTAAACTTGTATAAAACTTTGAATTATAACATATGTGATAATGCTAATTTGATTAGAATACAGAGTCACTAAAGTTGTTTAATTAAATTTGATATGTAACTTGGAAAAACCTTGTGACTTGCTCAGAAAGGAATTTAAAGAGTGCAGTCGAAGTGGATGGATTAAATCCACAAAGTCTCAACTTCTGCTGCCTTTCACTGTCTGTAGCCAGTTGTGGGAAGGTAGTCCTCCACAGTCTTATGATAAAGACAAAAGATTATTGTTGTAGACATAAACCACCCTATATTTTTACAATTTTAAGGCTTCCAACCTCAACCCTTTTCAATAAGTATTACTTATTATGGAATGAACTTAAATTAGCATGTAAAAATAACTTGTAGTAGAAATAAACTACCCTATATCTACTTTTGTAAGACTCTCAAACTCCACCCTTTTAATAATTATTACACAATGTTTTTCAATGGCATTAAATAGAAACTAAAACACTCTTACCTTAATAGTTCTGTAATAATTAAATCCATCTTTCTACTTAAAAAAAACATTTAAAAAAAAAATATAAACCAGGTGTGCTGAGACAACCCCAACTACCTGAAATTGGTCTTTCCATCCTGATGTCATGAACAAATACCTAAAAACAATTGTAGTTAATCATTTATAAATTTTGAATGACTTTAAGTAGTGACCTATACATATTCCAGATTTCCAAATAGGTATTTCAGTAATAAAAATTTATTTTTTAACAAATCATATTTATTATAAATAAGTGTAAAATTAGTTATTTGCCTGTCTTTGTAAACTTTATTTTTAATGCACATTTATACTTACAAAAAAAAATCAGTAACAATATTAATTCCTTTATGGATAATGTTCAGTTATTAATAAATAAATGATTTGTGTGTGTGTGTGTATCT